TGCCCTCCTGCTCCCCTGTTTCTGGACATCAGAGCTGGTGTAAATTCCTTGGCCAGGGACTGGTGTGGTTTCCTGATCAGCCTGGGCCTCAGTCCTAATGGGATGCAGCACAGAATCATAGAATAGCAGAGTTGCCTCAGTTGGAAGAGACCTCTCAGATCATCAAGTCCAAGCATCAACCTAAACACTGACAAAACCCATCACCAGCCCATGTCTCTCAGCACCACGTCTGCCCGGCTTTTAAATACTTTCAGGGATGGGGACTCCACCATTGCCCTGGGCAGCCTGTTCCAAGGCTTGACAACCCTTTCAATGTAAAAATTTTTCCTAATATCCATCTAAACCTCCCCTAGTGCAACTTGAGGCCATTCCCTCTTGTCCCATTGCCTGTTCCTTGGGAGAAGAGACCACCCCCCCCGGCTATACTCTCCTTTCAGGGAGTTGGAGAGAGCAAGAAGGTCCCCCCTCAGCCTTCTTTTCTCCAGGCTGAACACCCCCAGCTCCTTCAGCTCCTCCTCACAAGACTTGTGCTCCAGACCCCTCACCAGCCCTTCTCTGGACACGCTCCAGCACCTCAATTTCTTTCTTGTCATGAGGGGACCGAAACTGGACACAGCCCTCGAGGTGGGGCCTCACCAGTGCCCAGTACAGGGGGACGGTCACCTCCCGAGTCCTACTCATCACACTGTTCCTGACACGGGCCAAGATGCTGTTGGCCTTGGCCACCTGGGCACACTGCTGGCTCATATTCCTCTGCTGTTGACCAACACCTTTTCAGGTCCTTTTCCACAGGGGAGATCCAGCCCCAGCCTGGAGCGTCCATGGGGTTAGTGTGACCCAAGAGCATGTACACTGACTGAGAAAAGATGTGTGAGGTTGACATGTCCTCAGTGAGATCTGGGAGTACCCAGATCCTTGAGGTTGTCTCCAAGCTTAATGACTTGTCTGTCTTTGAGTGATTAAAAGACCTTTCCTTTGTGACCTTAGGCTTCAAAAGGGCCTTGAAGGTAACGGCCTGGTTTATAAGCTCCAAGCAACCATGTGGACATGAGTTTTTCCTGCACATCATGGCAACTCCTCTGCTCCCTAGGCATAGTGTCAGAAGGGTCCCTTCTAACACAAGAGGCTGGTTCACAGCCTACTGCAAATGAAGAACAGGAGAACTAGCACTGAGAGATGATCAGTTCGGGCTGTGGGACCCGGACATGGCTGAGGGTGTCTCCTCTCTCCATCTGCACCGTAGCTTTGCACAGCCCTGACTTCAACACTAGCAAGATTAGAAGAGGCAGTCAACTTAACAGGATATTCAGGGGACCTACACACTGGCATTACTTCCAGTTTAATTTCTTCCTGGGTATGTCACTTGTGACATGAGCACATACGTACAGTGGGAGAGATCCTTCTGAGAAAGACATGTAAAGAACCATCAGATACTTCCCTCATTTTCTCAAGGAACATGCTACAAGAAGCACCTATGAGAAGATGGAAATCACAGAATCACACAGAATCACAGGATGCTATGGGGTTGGAAGGGACGTCTGGAGACCATCCAGTCCAACTCCCTGCCCGAGCAGGTCCACCCAGAGCAGGTTGCACAGGAACGTGTCCAGGAGGGTTTGAATGTCTCCAGAGATGGAGACTCTACCACTTCTCTGGGCAGCTTGTTCCAGGGCTCTGCCACCCTCACAGGAAAGAAGTTCCTCCTCATGTTTAGATGGAACTTCTTATGTTCAAATTTGTGCCTGTTCCCTCTTGCCCTGTCAGAGAGCACCTGAAAAAAGACTGGCCCCATCCTCTTGACACCCACCCTTCAAGTATTTATACGTATTAAATATTGTATTAAATATAAGTATTAAATACTGCTGATCTGTCTCACAAATGGTGAGCTGCTGGCCTTTTCATCATTAGTTCTTGAGTGGAAATAACATTTTAAACACTGACTTTACACTAACCAGCAGGAAGCATAAACAAGAGTTCACATCACCTACTGTCTCTTTAGGCGAGTTTTGAAATAAATCCAGCAGAAAATAGCTGAAGAATTCAACAAATCATTAGATAACAGATTAAGACATTTTTTTTCTACTGGATAAACATAGACACAACATAGAAATCCATTTGAAATGCATCATTCTCAAAAGAAGGAGACAAAATGGACTTAAGCTTTAGTAGAGCTTCTGTTATGTGTTCTAGCAACTTCAGTGAAATGAAAAATTGGAAGTTTTAATTGAATTTATTTTTTAAAAAGGATGCTGCAGGCAAGGCAGTGGCTCTGGACTATGACTTATGTTGCATGGTGGGTTCCTAAATAATATGAATTGAGCACATGCTGCTCCATTGCAGAGAATGTCAAAGCAGCAAGAAAGCAGGAGGTTTTGATTTTTGGCTGGGTGCTCTGGTAGCTAGGCTTTTGGCACTGCCAAAGCACAACAAAGCAGATTGGCACTATGGAAATAAATTGCATTAATTGAATGTCCCTGCTAAAGCTACAAGGAGGATATTTCAGCAGTCCCTTCACAATCATGAGAAGCTCAGAGGAAAGGACCTGTTCTCATATCTCCAGTTCCAGAGGGAAACACAATCTGCATTTTTCCATCTTTTTTTTGTGAACCACAAGAGTAAAACCTAGTTTTTAACTAAACTTTATAGTTTTTTGACCATAACTCTATGCTTTTAGACCAAAATCTCTACCTGAGGAATCAAAGCTCCAACTGCAGAAGGTGCTCCTTCTTCTCCCCTCAGGACCAGCTATCTCTACAGTCACCACCACCCCCACCCCCAATCTGCTCCAGTTCAAAAGCCTCAGAGAAGAGCCTTGTGTGATTCCACAACAGTCAACAGACTAATTCCTAATTACCGCCTGCACCAGGTGGTAATTAATTCATACTGCTTTTTCAAGCCGAGTTCAAATTTTAAGGATATTATATTGCATATGGAGAACCTTGACGTAGTCCATGGCTAAAGTTTAATATCACTGCATTAGTGAAAAACAGGTGGAAGCGCAGGGGTGTTGCTCCCAAGCCGTAGGCAGGACAGTGTGGAGCTCTCTGCTCTCTCATAGTGTCCTGTGCAGAGCTCTCACAAACTGTCAAGGCCCTGAGGACACCAGTAGGTCTTAATGGCCCTCGCCAGTGTCACCCAGTAACTCCATGGGCCCAGGAGCCCCATTTCAGCCCAGCCCAAGCTGGTCCCCAGCTCAGCCACAGCTGATACTGGCTTGAACCACAAACAGGAAGAAGCACGGCTGGCAATTCCTTATCTGCTCCCTTCCCAAAAAGGTATCTGAAAACAGAGAAACCAGTAATTTTCTCTTGATTACACTTTCACTGTCAGCAATATTCGTATTTATTTTTTTCTTTCTGACTAGTCAAAGTTCACCGGAACTAAGTCAGCATTTCAAAATAGGAACAGCATAATGGCATTTTAACAGCTTTCAAAAATGAACACTTAAATTATTGAATGAAAGTTTAACACTTACTACCCCAGCACTTTATTTCCAAATCATCCAGAGTCTCCTGAGTATTTGAATATATACTATGTTAAAATATGCAGAATTAAATGATACCATAACTGCCATGCAAGTTCATTCTGGTAATGAACAACAAAGAGGAATCTCCAGATGCACTAATGGGAAGAGCCAGTTCCCCCTGGGTGTGCTTCAAGCCATCTTATTTTAAATGCTGGCCCTTACTGGGACATCTGCCTTACACTGAGGATTAACTGCAGTCTACAAATGCCTGTTTTTTTCCCACAGCTCAGGCAGGAGGCAGGGAAACTAGCTCAGAAAGAGATTTTCTTTAGGCATCTATGTTTGAACAAATGAATCTCATTTCAGTCACAAGAAAACCCACCCCAAATCACACTCAAACAACTGACATACACCCTAGACTTCTAAAGTCTTGCTGTATAGCTTTAGAGTCTTATAGGTCTTGGCACAAACTCTATTAGCAGCAATTTAAAATTCACTGGCAGATCACTGATGCAGACGTTGAGTAGTGTCAGGTCTGCCACTGATCCCAAGAGCAATCCCTCAGGAATACCAGCTTTCCCACTGACAACCATCTTAGAAGTTTTTTTTTCAGGTCTAATTCATATAATATCTGCTCTACGGGAACTGGGAGCTAATATTTGACTCCAGATACCAAGCAGCTGCAAATGTTGCACAGCTACATAACACAGCTGCTCTATGCTATGTTAATTAAGTAACCTTTCTGTCACACTTGTACTTTCCTCACAGACTCAAACCAGGGATGTCTGATAAAACCTGTTTTCCTTGGGCTGTTACAGACTGCAGCCATTAGCATCTTCTAGCTCAGCCTTCCCTTGACTGCGGCTCCTAAAACCTGCATCTCCCTCTGCTCCCAGAGTCTCCTTCAGCCAGTAATTCTCTGAAAGTCCCCATGCTCACACCCATCACAGGGTACCAAAGCATCTCCAGCCCCTTGGCTTTCTCCTGTAATCCCTCTGCCTCCTTTTCTCTCTCTTTTCCGCAAGCCCATATCTTTGTGGCACATGTTGAACAATAATGTTCACCTGGAGATTAAAAGAAGTGTTTCCTAAGCAGATCCAAGCTTTTTTCCCTACCTTCTTTATATATATATACAAAAACATAAGTGCATAAATATCTTTTACCTTTAACTGATGTTCCATGTTCTTCGTGCTCTTCCCCTCTATGTGCACGGGCTGCTCCTAATGGGCAGACCTTGGGTACAGCAATTGCCTCATTTTCCCTTTCTAGTGCTCCTTGATATTGGAGTCACAGTGAGGGACGGAGCCACAGGGAGATCACAAAAGTTTGGTGATCCAAAGGGCAAAGATATTGCCACTGGGACAGTCATCTGACATTTGGCTGAGGATTAAGGGCTTTAATGGGTTTCCCGTTCAGCTACAGCCAGAAATCCAGCCCACCACCTCAAGCATTTTGGGGGCTACCTGTCTGTGGCTGTAAAATACTTACTAGACTCGAGCTTGGTGTAAATGGATGAGTGGATTGTGTTGCTCACCATAGATTTTCTGAATTCCTTGGAGGTCATCCTGGGGCAGTTTGAAGTTGTGCGTTTCCATGTACTGGTAGAAAGGAGCCATGATGGCACTGGGATCATTGGAGTGTTCCAGACCCAGCGCGTGTCCCAGCTCATGGACTGCCACCAGGAAGAGATCGTTCCCTGTGGAAGGAAGGCACAGCCAGGTCAGTCCACACCACAGCCCGACACAACCCCAAGCGCTGCTTAGAAGCAGGAAGAGCAAGAAGCAAGAAGGAAACGCTTTGCTGTCCTATTCCTCAGCAGGTCACGGTGCCAGGGGCAGCTCCCGGAGATGGTTTTAGTCCTTAAAGTCTGTGTAGCTTTTACAGTCATTGTCACAGAATGGGCAGGAGGCTCTTAGCCCATGACCACCCGTGACCAGGAGCACCCTCAGTCCAGGTAAAACAGGAGGGAAAGGCTGGGCTGAATCCCAACAGCAGGAGGGAGGAGGAGGAAGGAAGAAAGAAGGGAGGTGCTCCTCATAGGAAGAGAAAGGGCTGAGGAAGCCTGTCTGGTCCAGAAGCCCGTAGGAGCACAAAGTAGGGGTACCTTCAACTCTGTGTTACAGGCATACACTCCTCTTCGGTCCCACAGATCCGGGACCCTCACCCCATCCAGTGTGGTCCCTGGGCACCTCGACATAGGAGGTGTCACAGGCAATGCTGCGTGAGGGATGAAGGCACAGCCAACAATGACAGATGTAAGACTCTCCCCATGCCAATAAAATGCCTGAGCCCTCAATTCTGCCTGAATTGGGCTTCTCTGCTTTATTTATTTTTTTTTTTTTTTGGCAAGGTACAAACCAAGAGCATTGCAATCAAGATTCAGGAGAAAACAGTTGGCAGAGGCACCTCAGTGACTGCTTTGCAGCATCTCCATACCCTGCATCTCCAAACTGCGCCTGCCCTAGAGGTAACAAAGTCCAGGTTTGTGCACAGGGCTGAGCTCTCCTTGCGACAGGAGGTGCAGATAGTGACTCAGGTACGACTATCTCCTCTTTTCAAATACTTATTACTTCCCCGTTACCCATAAAAACATGATCAGGAGGCTGCACGTCTTCACAGCAGGGTGCTCTGCCGGCATCGCAAGATACCTGAAGTCAGTAACAAACAGTATTCAACTGCTCACAGAAACCACACCAAAATGGTTAAATCGTCTAAATAATCGAGTTGGAGAGCATAAGCACCTGAATATGCAAGACATGTTAAAATATACAAATGCATTTCAAATAAATGTTCAAATACATTTGGTCAAATACAAATGTCCAAAAATATATGTGGGCTAAAATTCAACCGTATTATGTCATGACAATTCCAAAATTTCTTTATTTGGGAAATCCAAATCAGGACTTACTTGATAATTTTTCCTTATCTGCTGCTGAAAAATCTGGTGTGTGCAGAATAAGTCAATAAAATGTCCAACGGCAAACTATCAAATGCATGAAGTAGTTTCACGGTAAAGTTTGGACAACTGATCACTCTTCGTGGGTTTTCAAAACCACTCAAGCTTACAGGACGCAGCCAGTTTTCAAAATGGATTCAAAGACTCAAAGTCAGCTGAAAATTAAATGGACTTACTCTTTCATATCACTTGCTCAGAGAAAGCATAACTTTCACTGCTACCACAACTACTGGAAGTCCCTGGTAAGAGTCACTCAGTACAGAGATAACTGTCACGAGACTCTTCGTGGGCTCGCGGGCTGCACCCCTGCTGAGTGCTTGGAGACGTTTTCCCTCCCTCAATTTGAGGGCATTTTCCTCCTTGCTGAAGTATCCAAAGAGTCTTTGTACCGACAGTATGTCTAGAACTCATCTCTGTGTAAGTCTACATAGAAATCTATGTAAGTTACTTGCCTCCGTATGTATCAGGAGCATAAGACCAATCACTATCTTCATTTAAATTAAGTTTAAATAGCATTCAGTCACTTGTTTCTCCCCCAAACCAATGTCAGCCCAATTTACAGCTGGAAAACAGGATCACACAGACTCACAGAATGGTTGAGTTTGAAGGCACCTGTGGAGATTGTCTAGTCCAAGCTCCCCAGCTCAAGCAAGGTCAAGTGAAGCGGGTTGTCCAGGGCTGTGTCCAGTCAGGTTTGGAATGTCAAGTTTCTTGCATTGGGAAGCCCTCTCCACAGAACTCCAGACGTGCTGATGTACACAGCACTCCAGATGTGCTGAGCAGAAAGAAAGGTTCATCTCCCTTGACCTGCTGGCCATGCTCTTCCTAATGCAGCCCTGGATGCCATTGGCTGACTGTGCTGCAGGAGCATGCTGCTAACTCATGTTCAAATTGGTGTCAACCAGGAGCCCCAGGTCCTCCTCTGTGAAGCTGCTTTCCAGTCTGTTGGCCACCAACAGAGCCCAGGTGCAGGGCTTTGCATTTCTCTTTTCTGAACTTCATTAGGTTCCTGATGGCCCATTTCTCCAGCCTCTCAAGGTCTCTCTGAATGACAGCATCATTATTCAGCGTATCAGCCACTCCTCCAAACTTTCTACCGTCTTTGACCTTGCTGAGGGTGCACTCTGCTGCACTGAGGTCATTCACGAAGATATTAAACAGCGTTGACCTCACTATTGACCCCTCTGACACACACCCTGCACTCCACCACCCCATGGTTACTGCAGCCAAGGATGCTACTGATCTTCACACCACCCAACCAGTTCTTCCTTTTAAAATGTCAGGTCCAGCAGATCACCTGTCTTTGTTGGTTCCTTGATCACCAGTGAGAGTTCGGAGATGATCAGCAAGCCCAGAAAGAGGAAGACTCATACCTGAGAAGTATGCCAACACCCATGGTGGTCAGGCTGACCAGCTCTTCCACTGAAGAGAATTGCACCTTTACCTAGTTATCCTTATGAAATACCTATACCTGGAAACATGGACATCTGTGGAAAACAGCTGCTGTTGTCCAGTTTGACTGAGAGTGGCGTGGGAAGATGCCATAGTGCAGGGAAAATTCTGGCTGGGGAGTTCTGCTTCCTTGGATCTAGAGGTAAGGGACTCACCAAGAAATGAACCATACCAGTTTTAGCACAGCCACAGAGGACAGGTCAGCACTGGGGTGGAAAAGCTATCTTCCTGAGGGGGATTCACTGCTGGGTGGCCACTCAAATCAAGTAGCGATGTCTTGGGAGGTGGCTGGAGCAGATGAAGTGGAGCTAAAGAGAATTTCTAGAAAATGAAGTGACTTCCAGAGAGTAGGACAAGAAGCTCCTCTTGCTTCTCAACAAGTACTCTGATTCTCAGTGCTGTGATTGCTTCTCGTCTCAAACCCTTTGCTGAGAGGCAGTAGAGTGACACAAGCAGACACCACTCCCTCTGCTGCTCCCTGCCCTGGCCACAGATATCTCACCACTGTTTCATCCCCTTACCCTCCTTCCTGTTCAATCCTCCCCCAAGTTCTCTCCCTTCCAGCATGCCCATGCCATCTGCCACTCCATACTGTGTAAGATGGTCCCAGGTCTGAGAGCTGCCAGGTGGACAGCACACATTTCGTGGGATGAGGAGACAGGAGAAAAGAGTCACAGACCATTTTGTAAGCATTGAGTGCTCAAAACCCCCACTCTGGATTCACTGTCCTGTTTCTCCTGACGGGTCAGCTTATACCCAAAGCACCTTGTTAAGCAAGAAGTTTCCTTTATTTTTGTAAATGGTAGGGAGTTTCATAGCGTGGAAGAGAACACGCTGTTCATTTTCTTTTCAAAGTGCGTGCTAAATTTTGCTCTGAAAAGAAAATATCGAAGTATAAAACTATTTCCTGAAAATCTTCTCCCACAGCTTTTCGCTTTGAGCTGTGATGGCTCTTTGCGTAACCGTTACCCCCTGTTCTTTGGCTGCCATTTGGAAACTGTTCCCTCAGCTGATCTGAAAGGAGCCTCAAGCTCTCAAACTATTTCTGTTAGTTCTTGAACATACAGCAAGGTCTCTGACCTCCATGTTCTCCACAGTTCTTGATGGGACGGCACTCTTAGTAATTTCACTGAATTTCACTGAATTTCACTGAATTTCTAGAGTTGGAAGGGACCATAGAGATCATCTAGTCCAACTCCCCTGCTGAAGCAGGATTGCCTAGAGCTAGAGCATGTTACTCAGGACTACATCCAGGCGGGTTTTGAAAATCTCCAAAGAAGGGGACTCCACAACCTCCCTGGGCAGCCTGTTCCAGGGTTCCGTCACCCTCACCGTGAAGAAGTTTCTCCTCATATTTGAGTGGAACCTCTTATGTTCCAACTTGTGCCCGTTGCCCCTCGTCCTCTCGGTGGGAACCACTGAAAAGAGTCTGGCTCCCTCCTCCTTCAACCCTCCCTTGAGATACTTGTAGGCGTTGATAAGGTCTCCCCTCAGCCTTCTCTTCTCCAGACTAAAGAGTCCCAGCTCTCTCAGTCTCTCCTCATAAGGGAGATGCTCCAATCCCTGAATCATCTTTGTAGCCCTACGCTGGACTCTTTCTAGTAGTTCCCTGTCCCTCTTGAACTGGGGAGCCCAGAACTGGACACAGTACTCCAGTTGTGGCCTCACCAGTGCAGAGTAGAGAGGGAGAATGACTTCCCTTGACCTGCTGGCTACCCTCTTCCCTATACAACCCAAGATACCATTGGCCTTCCTGGCCGCAAGAGCACACTGTTTACTCATTGCCATTTTACTGTCCACCAGGACCCCTAGATCTTTCTCTTCAGTAGTTGCCTCTAGCGGGTCCACCCCTAACCTGTATTGGTGCCTGAGAGTCTTCTTCCCCAGGTGCAGGACCCTACACTTTTCCCTGTTGAACCTCATGAGGTTCTTCTTTGCCCAGCCCTCCAGCCTGTCCAAGTCTCGCTGGATGGCAGCACAGCCCTCCGGGGGGCCAGCCCCTCCTCCCAGTTTGGTATCATCAGCAAACTTGCTGAGGATACACTCTGTCCCCTCGTCCAGGTCACTGATGAATATATTAAACAGCACGGGTCCAAGTATTGACCCCTGGGGGACTCCACTGGTTACAGGCCTCCAACTTGAACCTGCTCCATTAATAATTACCCTTTGGGTCCTGTCACACAGCCAGTTCTCAATCCACCTCACTGTCCCCTCATCCAGCCCATACTGCCTCAGTTTCCCAATGAGGATGTTATGGGAGACAGTGTCAAAAGCCTTGCTGAAGTCAAGGTAGATGACATCTGCTGCCCTCCCCTCATCCAACCAACCGGTTATGGCATCATAGAAGGCTATCAGATTGGTCATACATGATTTACCCTTGGTAATGTCCATCTTCTCAGAGCAAGATTCAGAAGGGAGAACCAATAGCCTACCTTGATGCTATGCTACTCATATGGAAACAAGGTCAGGCAATCACATAAAGTCCCTTAATTTCCTGTTCAACCCCCCTTCCCCAAGACCAAGACAAGTAAAACTCATATTCAGTCTACACCAGCCACCTGGGCAAGACAATAAAATGAAGAAGGACCTTACCACCCTTGCTTTGTATTTGCAGGGAAAGGGCCCATGAGAAATCCAACGATTTTAAACCTGGTTGCACTATCTGTACAATCTTGCACTATCTGCCTGAGCTTTCTCCTTCTCCATTCTCAGGAGCATCCAAAAGTCCACCAGTAAGGACCAGAGAGAGGATGACCCTGTAAAACTGAGGGTAGTTTTGTAAGTTGGTTCACTGAACGAAATTGTTGATCTGCTATGCTAAAACATAAATAAACACAGTTAATTTAGCTTTAAAGTTGCTGATGTATTTTCCTCACCAAAACAATGTTATCACCAGAAGAAGTTAGAAGGACACACCTGTAACAATACAAAGGCATCGTCCATTATTATGGTGCCAAACCAGGAGAATACACTGCTTATCTTACATCCAGTTTAATAGCTCTATGCTCCCCACACACGCACCGGCCACGGAACACACACCACTTCAAACATACTTTTTAGTTGAATTTTCTTAATGAAAAATAATCTAAATTTGTGTTCAGAGTAAAACTCCTGTTAGCTGCTATAATCCCAGTTGGGAATCCCAGCTAACTTAAATTACAATATAATCACACATCAAAACCAGCTCTTTGGTTAATCACTCAAATAGTTCGTAATACACTGCCTTTCCTACAGAGAGATGGAACACATGGTTTTATGGTAACAAACTGATTTATGTATGATCTTCCTTCTCGTCACTCATGCTTCTTTGATTTTCATCTTCAGATGGAAAAACACCTGTTAAATGAGGCAACAGACATCTTGAGAAAGGTTTTTCTCTGTGAAACCGCTAGCACGTTCCGTCTTGTACAGTTTCAGTCATTTTCATTAGGAAAATCCATACCAAAACCATTTCTTAATTTGGCCAACTCACTCATTGCATAGCTGGATATACAACTGCTGTAGATCAGCAAAACCACTCACTTAAATGCCTATAAGTTTACAGTAATAGGTCACAGGGATATTATAATGGCAAAGTTGTGATATTAGTATTTATCCCTGGGTGTGGTATCTGTATATAGAGCTGTAATGAATGCAGGTAGACTCTATAGAGCATTCAGCACAGCAGAGGGTAAACCCAGGACAGAGCTTCTACGACAACACAAGTACAAATAATATTGCACATCTGATTAGTAACAGAGAAGCAACGGTGAATCTCTGATCCATGTCATATTAGTTTTGTAGTTATCCTCATGCTAACACATCTATGTATTGCAGTTTACTCAGACATAATTAGAAAGACATAGGAAGGTTAAATTTTGAAATTTTATTAAAGAAAGAATGATAGTGAAGAAGTCAGATCATTGGTTGTGACAATAGCATGCCCTGAGTAATTACAGAGAAGATGGTGTGAACTAAACAAGCTTTAAATACACTAAAATGACCCCTTCCCTCCGACAGCCACGTAGAGACAGCTGTTTTCCAAGCACAACTTAAAGAAGCTTTAGGGCTACTCTAAGCTATGCCTTGGTTCTTGCATCTTCAGACCTGGAAGGTCTGAATCACCCAACAGAAGACCACGTGTTTGTCTGTACTCCTCTGTTCACCTCCACAACACGCTCCACTCAGAAGGAGATTTTCAATCTTCTGAAGACCATGAGGAAGTGGTGATATTACTCTTCGCTTTGTTTGCATCATGAGAGATGTGAAAAACAGCTTTTCTGTCTAGAAAGGAAGAAAATGCATGTTAAAAAAATAGGTTTTATTTTGTTCATAAACTATTATAAATGTAGCAATGAATATGATGCATAGAAACTCTTAAGAGTGTCTTTAAACAGCTTCACCAGAGACAGAAGAATGAGTGAGATGCAGTCTTAAGAGAAATTGTGCCACGTTAACAAACTGACCTCCATGAGATCAAGTGACTGCAGCAGGACAAAGAACTGTACCGTGGTACCAACCACCATGACAGGGGGTTTGCCTTATTGTCCCCGAAAGTCAGTGTGTTGGTTGGGTTACAGACCTGCCTAATGTTGCAAGCTGTGTGTTATCAGACATGGCACAGATGGCACTATGAGGACAATCTCCTATTTTTCTGGAATGGTGAGACCCAAACTGAGAGAGTGATGCACAGTGGACAGTGGGCAGCCAGAGAGAGGGAGCTGTGAGGATTCAGCTGGCTCTGCCTGACATTCCACGGAATTCTGCTGAAAAATTGTCCCCTTATCTTTCACAAGTGTAGGCTGTAATTCAATAAGCAATTCAACAAGAAAGAATTACCAATCCCAAAATGAAAAGTTCTATTTGCCTAATATTAGCATATCATTCCCTAATTTGGTAGAACAGATGGTAAGGAAGAGAAAAATACTCATAAAAACATGGGAAATGTAGATATGATGTTCATTCCATCACTCTTGAAAAAAAAGCTATGCTGATTTTTTTTTTTTTAGAAGTAATTAAATACAGCAGGGTCTACAGACAGAATTTACTACTCAACCCAGATGTGGAACAACCAGGGATAACCCCCCCCCCAACAAAACCAAGAGGATTTTGAAAGCGTTGGAAGGCTGGGGCAGTGTTTCCAACCAGGCCCTGGCCCAGGCAGTGTGGATACAAACCAGTTTAGGCTAATTGGGATTCTATTTTGCCAGTCAGGTTGAAATTATATTTAACTTCTGGTGCTGGCAGTAGAGAAAGTGCTGTTTCTGGAAGCTGCGAGAGGTGTTTTCTCCTTAGGACAGGAGTTTTACCATCTTTGTCCTCCCTGACACGGGAGGTTCCTGATGCGGCCAAGCAGGACTGAGAAATAAAACTGAGATATAAGAGACCCCTTCCAAGTGGTATTGGTGGGGGATTTGTGTAGAGAACACAATACCAGTCAAACTGTCTTCTGCTCTTCTTCAGAAACAGGAAAGAAAAAAAGAAAAAAGTAGTAAAAAACTCCGCAGTTTGCCGCTTTGTTGTGCTGTCAAAATCTGGAGTACTGGGTTTCGTTTCACCGCTGACGCTGCAACCCAGCGCTCACTGCAACCACCAGCAAACTCTCGTCAAGAATTCACCTATTTTTTCCTCGTCCTGAACACCTGTTATTTTACTCCTCTTCCCTTCAGCATGTGGAATGCAGCGAGTTCATTAGAGACACTGCTGCATTTTGTGTTGTTTCACATTATCTGTTTCCACTTTACAAAGGCAGCAAGAAAAGGCTTTTTGGCTCACCTTGATTCTCATCACCTGCCTTTTTTACAGTTGTTTTTTTTCTTCCTTTTTAAGGGACCGACACATTTTTATCCCTACTGGCTCCTTCCCACGAATCTCAGAGTATCTCATTCTCTGTGGAAAGAAGTAAAATATTTCACGTTGATTACAGAGAAATCAATAGGATTCCAAATACCTGTATCACTGCATTCATACGTTGTGTATTAAATGGTTACTGACAAAAGCAATGGATAATAATTTTCTTTACAGAACATTGTGAACATCAGGTGTATTTACAAATACATTGTTTTGAGAGTGGAATTTGCAGGTGATCCTTATTAGTGAATTTCAGCTGTAGTCAAAAACTAGCGCTGTTAATACTTGGAAGCTTTAAAATCCAGACAGCACTAGCACAGCTCAACTTAATGTCATGTCTACATTTGGCCACTGACAGCACATACACCAGAAAAAAGCACTACTTACAGAGATGCTGTCCAGGAGCGAAGAAGAAGAATCTGACGACAGAAGTCATCCACATGTGCTGGTGGGCTTTCTCTCTTCGCTTTACTTTTGTAAATAAATTTAATTTGCAAGTTCTCTCTTTACGGCCTCGTACGTCTGGATTGACATGACAGCGATGTAACTGCAAACTGCTGCTGCTTTAAGCTGCCTGATTTGATTTCGTTTTCCTGAGGCTGGCTGGCTTCAGACCACGTGTCTATACGCTCACCCCAACTGGGTTCAACGTCAGCGTGATTTTAGAGAACTCTGGCTTACAGGAACAAGTCTCTCTCAGCAGTTACAGGCTGAAACCAACATTAAGCAGGTCTGTTCTACAGACCAACTACTGAACTGGTCTTCATCAGTGAACACAAGTACTGACCAACAGCATGATCTGGTGAAGTATCATATAAAGGCCTGATAGAATAAACTGAAATTTTAATACAATTTATGCCCCACTTGATTTCCAGCATCTTTCAGGTCTTCTGCATTAAAGGACATGCGAGTAACTTCAAAGCAGCTCTGATTTTCACTCTGAAAAATACTGACGCTCATTTTCAACAACAGAGTTTCAGAAGCCTGAAAAATAATGATGGATTCAAAATGTCATTTGTTAGAACAAAACTCTTTAGATGTGGAGATATTCTGTACCTGAGAAATCAGAGAAAGAAAATCAAAAACTTATTTAACAGCCAAATAGCACAAAGATTATATGGGTACTGTCTCGTGAGTACACGAGCAAATCGACAGAGCGCATTATATTAATACTTTGTGAATGGTCTTTGCTGGCCTCAGCATTTCCATAGAAAATGAAGATGAAAAAAGTGGTATAATAAGAAAGAGAAGAGACAGAAACGCAGAGGAAACAGGAATTGAGGAGAAAAGATTCCCAAGCTCTGGCAATACGCTGGGTGAGGGTTCAGGGGTCAAGGGAAGCTGTATTTCACTTTCAGCAAGCGCACACTCTACCTCTACCACTCAGGTAAGTGGGTTACAAGTCAATAGTAGAGAGTCAACCTAGAAAAGTGGGTACCAATACGAATCTCGAAGAAAAAAAAAAAAAAGCAACAATTGGACACTGTTCTTTCCTCTAAGCGCCCTCCCTCCACCCAAACTATCCTGGCTGTAATCAAACAAACCAAACAGGGTAAGGAATATTTATTCAGCAACATTTCCAAAGTGACTAGAAACACCTGGAAGTCTTCAATAATAAAGAACTACCTGTCCAGGTGAAAAAAATGCCAAACCTCCTTATACCTACCACTTAATACTAGGGGGTCTGTTATATAATGTATCCTAACATACATTCAGTGTTTATGTGATTAATCTAGTGAATGCTAACAGAAACCTCGTACTTTTTTGCATTAAAAAAAAAAAAAAGAAAAAAAGATGTGATGATACTTCAAAAGCATCAAACATCTGGCAAAAAAATACTGCCAGCTACTTCTTCATGCACCTACCAGCATCACCAATCCTCCTTCAGGAGGAATCTCAATATTAAAAGATTCCTGGTTTTAGAAGGAACTTGGTGATAGAAAAGAGAATTTTATGAGCCGGATCTTTTGTTACGGGCTGAGAGTCGCTGTGAGAAGTAACTGCAACTTGTTCTTAAGTTCTAGAAACTAAAATTCTGTCTGTTTGGCAATGCTAAAGAATTATGTAAAAATTTAGATAGAAAGGCATGTCCAGGGGTCATCGAGTTTAACTTTTTGCTTCCAGCAGGGCTAATCTCCAAACTACATGAGGTTGCTCAGGGGCTTCAGCCAAGCCTCAAAGGAGCGGGGTCCCCGCACCCTCCCTAGGTGCGGACTCAGAGCTGTACCGCTGTCAGCCAAGAATTCTTTTCCTTATGCCCAGATGGGGTTTTCCTTGTTGCAGCTCATGCCTTTTGCTCCTTTCTCTGTTCACCTCCAAAAAGAGTGTGGCTCTGTCCTCTCTATAATATCTCCTCAGGTGGAAGACTGCTTCCTCCTCACCCTATCCTCCTCCTCCTCACTGGGTTGAACAACCCCAGTTCCCCTGGTTTCTTCTTGCTCCAGTCCCTTATCACCTCAGTGCTCATGCACTGGACTCTTCCCAGTTTGCTGACACTTTTCATGTACTGGGGGCCCAAAAATACCACACTCCATTCTTGTTAAACTCCAAACATCACTGATTTCAAGCATGCACTACCCACAGAAGTGAAGCTGCCTTCACAGAAAGATCCAGCTAAGGAATAGGAAAAACTGTCTGGATGAAAAGTGACGAAGAGGAGGAAGGAAAAACAAAGGGCAAGGAGAATGGCAGGCAGAGACTAACAGGTTTGAAGAAATAAAACTCTACCCAGAATGTAGACACGCAATAGTTCTGCCATGGTTTTATGATCAAGATGTACATCTTGCAGCTGGAAGTGCAGCAGCCCCGTTTCCTGCCCCAGCCACCCATTCCTACCTACTCTTTCATTTGGGCCAAAGAGCCCGGGTGGCTCTAAGGTAAACCAGATCTGGAGAAAGGCAGAGAAAGACAAACAACATTTGGCTACATCCATCCCTCGCCTGGCTCACACTGTGGCCACTTCAACCTTCTCCTGGTTCGAAGGGGAAGAAAGAGAAAGAGGTGCTGGGAAAAGTGTGACAGGGACGGGGGGAAGCGTGTGCATGGTCCCTTGTGGAGGTCTAGACCCAGAGCTCCAGCCTGCAAACTAAGTGCCAGAACCAGAGAATGGAAAGCATGGCACTTGGATTCTGTTTCTCCTCAAAGGTCAAATTATTTAGGGCTTTGAAAGACAATCATCCCTCCAAGATCCAGGAATCTGACCAGGGAAAGCCATAGACCTATTCCTTGAGACAGTCTGTAGAAGCTGTTTGAGCGAGACACAGCCCATGAAGTATAACAACATTGCTCACTAACTGTGTTTTCAGAGCAGAAACCTTCCATATGGCATCTCTACTGGCTTCTAAGGTATTCAAGACAAGCAAGCACTCAGGAGTGACAGTAAAGGCAACAAGTACCACAAGCACGGGACATACTCTGTAAGACACCTAAGATGGACCAAATGGATAAAGGCACGGGACAGTGGTCTAAATGGGACAGACTCCAAGCAGAGCTACTGCCAGTTGAGGCAGCCAAGAGAGAGAGACCCCAGCACGGCCAAGGCTCTGGACCCTCCTTCAGAAAAACTGTAGGTGCCTGGACAAATTTAAGAACTTTGTACTCATAGCAGGAATAAAAACAGTACCAGAACAAGCTCAAATTATTTTGGAGCACCTGATTTCTAAACAAGAACAGCCCAAGCTGTGACAGGAGAGTGGCTTTCCCAAAGCTTGGCTAAATGCCTATGTTTGAGCAACTGAACTCCGCTGTAAACTCAGAGGTGAGAGAATCCCATCTTCAGGAATGGGGATACAAATGTCTAAAGAATGATGAAGGTTTGTGCTATTAGCATTGCCAGGACAGAAGACAGTAGATCTCCAGTAAAGACCCCACTGTGACATGTTAACTGGCTGATTAACCTCACCTTAGAGATATACAAGCCACCCATCAACAGGTACCACCACTGTCATGCTCACTGCCTATCAGGAAGGCTCTCCTCCAAAATTAGCTACTTTAATAAAAACTTTCTCCTTGAGATCCCTACTGAACATTCCCATTAGCCGTCTTAGACACTATTTGCCTGTCCTGAAAAACCTGCTCAGCTTTCCGGAACATATGTGGTGTCCAGATGGTGCCTTCAGGAGCACTTGCTCTGCTGTCCAGGTAGGTGCCCCCTGAAACAATGCTAGTCCTTGTGGTGGAATCGCAGAGGAAAAAGTCTGTCTAGTTCCTCTCCTCTGTGGCCAACAGGGGCCTGCCCAGAAGGTGGTTCAGGTCTTTTTCCTCCAGAACTTCCGCAGAAGCTCCTGCACCGATTTGGCATGAATGGAAAAAGTCTGTCTAGTTCCTCTCCTCTGTGGCCAACAGGGGCCTGCCCAGAAGGTGGTTCAGGTCTTTTTCCTCCAGAACTTCCGCAGAAGCTCCTGCACTGATTTGGCATGAATGTCTCTTCCAACATAGACGATTCTATGATTCTATGATCCATGAGGTCTCACCTCCTATACCAGTTCTCGCAGCATTTTGTAAACACTAGCATTTTTTTTTTGGTTGGCTTTTCTTCAGAAGCCCCGAACAAGCATCTTTCCAAAGAGGCCTCTGGAGGAACCCATCAGGATCTAGGGTTGTTGTAAGGGTTACGATATTTATTTACTTGCTGTGAGCAAAGCTCAGCATTTCTTGCTGGTATCTGAAGAGCAGTCAAAGTGGCAATCCTATGTTTACAAAGAGAAGGTGCTCCAGGTGGGACACTGTACAGCGTGGGGGAGTACCTGGAAGAGAGGAGACTGCAGGATGAATCCTGTGAACTGCAAAATGATCAAACATGTTTTGAAGCCGAGTTACACTAGAGTCTTTGTGGAATAACTTGTCAAGTGGGGGTGTTTTCCCTGACAGAGCTGAAGAGGCTGCCCTCGGGCACACTCCCACTTATGGTGCCACACAACAAGGGAGGGTCTCAGAGCTCAACTCTGGGCATGCCAAAAGAAAAACCCTCTGGTGATCCCTGGCAGGGCATGGAAACCTCGGTACTTACCACGCTTTTGCATTAAAAAGGCTCTCTTGCATTAAAAAGACCTCTCTTTGGGTCTTCCCCAAACCGATTCTGCTCCACTCTAAGCCTTCTACTACTGCTTCAGTGCGTTTCCTGACCAGTACGCTGCCTGGTGAGCTTTGGAATGAAACCTGGATTGCACAGAAGAGTGAGAGCAGATTGGACAGCCCCAGCAGTGGGGTTCTGGTCACCCCCCAGCAGCAGCAGCACTTACTATAGCTGTGGGCAGTCACTGCAGGGGCTGCTGGCACCAGCTCAGACACTGGCACTACTATTAGCTGTGACGGTGACAGAGCAACTGTTGTCACTGCCAACAGAGGAAGAGCTAACAGCTATATACAGCTGTTTTCTATATAGCTATAAAGCTAATATCTGCAGTGGGTTGGCAGATACCACATACTTAGCGGTGGTGATGTGGGTTGGCAGATACCACATACTTAGCGGTACAGTGGTGACAACATGCATAACAGCAATGGTCACCTACCTTTAAAAGGCCATGAAGAAGATTTGCCTGGAATTATTATTGATACTATTTGCCATGTTAAACTGGAGATTAAAATTTACTTCCTGTAATTAACCTGGATTAAACAAACATTTGAGTGTCAGAAGGGCCTAAGACCAGCCATGTAATGAGATTTAAACTGGCAGGACTTGCAGCTTCCCAGGATTCCTTTTCAACCTGTTATTGGAGATACATACACATGTAATTGCTATTTTCACATAAAGGCTAGGAAATACTTGATTTGGCCAGTTAATAATGGATGTCATGCAGCACCTCAACACTTGAGCCGCATTAGGGGAGCTGTTGAGACAGCCAAGGGACAGAGGCCCCAGCATGGTCAAGGCTCTGGACCCTCTTTCAGGCACAGGCTTTGCTGCCCATAGAGAGCAGCGTGTGTCAGCGGCTGTGAGTACCAAGACGGGCAGTTTAACAGTTTGCTTGGCTGTTTCTACAGCACATTTCAAGCTTAAAAAAAAAAAAAAAAGCCCAAGACTTGGGGAAAGTAAAGCAAAGCCACCTTTGGTGTCCCCTCTAGTAACACAAGCCATTGGGATACTGAGACTGCCTGCAGTGACACACACCTCAGTGACCAAATGCTGTCCCTAAGGAGCCCCTTGGCTGCAAACAGCTACACACAATGTACCCCTAAAGGAGAATTACTCCAAAAACAGCTTCAATTGCCTCCAAGTGCCCACTCATCAAAGTCTAATATGCTGTAGCTCGTGCTGCTATACATCTGGGAGAACTTAAAGGCCAAGAGCTGCTTTCATTTCTACTGAGGAGCACCTTCCTGGACAACCATGAGGTAAGTCCCTGCCACTGTGACCACACCAGTTGCTCCTCATTGCGTGGTTGCAGAGATGATTTATCTCTAAATGTAAAACCTCCTCTTTTTCAGTTGCATCCTGTTTGCCATATCACTGCTCTGATTTGCCTTGATCCCTCCCAATTCCAATATATCCTGCTTCGTGCTTCTTGCTGCTCCCACTGGCATTCTCATCTGAAAACTTCACAAAGGAATTCTGCACCCCATGATCCCAGTTAACAAGGATTGCTCCAGGGGTTCAACTTCCTGCCGGGTTTTGCACATCCTCATCACAATATTATCTAAATTAATCTTCCACAGCTTGCTTATGGGACTGTCGGAGAAGGCAGTACAATTAAGATGATAAATCAGCAATTGCGAATGGAAAGTAGAGTATCACTCAGTTAAAGGAACTGTACGCACAAGAGGAACCGTAACTAATATCCAGGGGGAAGGGAACTTTGCATTCATGGTGAAAGCCTGTGCAGGATCATTCTCCACAGCAGAAGACAACAGAAGTGTTGGTGCACATGCCCCTTCTGCCATGGGCTCAGAAAGACAACCAACAGCACCCTAGCTATTATGGTTATAGTAATAATTTTAAGGGATGTGATAATGGCCATGCTGTCCACAAGGGGCAAAAGCAGTATAATAATGAGCATTGCAAACTGATAATGAGTATGTAAATCCCAACTAAATACCCACTAGCTGCTGTGAAAAAAATAATGAACGCCAGCAGATTACCACAGGGTCAGTTTACAAGACAGAAACTTTCATCATTAGGATGTATTGTGTTCTCCGCGTACAAATCAGAGATGGCTGTTTTCACAGAAAGCTCTCTTCAAATAATTCTTCTTTTTTTCTGACTGGATGAGACTTCATGTGAAATGTTTCACTTTTAATCCATGTAATTTGCACTGCTAGTGAAGACTCCAAACCAGTTCTTCTGTGGGGTGACAGCTCCATCCCAACATGGACTTAACTGGAACTCTTCAGGTGCCACAACAGAGTAAGGCAAGTGTAGACTAACAAAAGCAAAGCTTCAGATCATACTGGTTTGTTTTTTAACAAAACTATACGGACTAAATAGATCAGCCAAATGTTCCCAGGACCCTGGGTGCCAGTTTCAGCACCCTGCTCTGTTGATCTGAGATTTACCTTTGTAATTGCTGCAAGGCTAAGAGAGCTTTGAGACAGATTGTTCAATCTTCCCCCTTTAACTAACACACAACCTTGTCAGGGATGGAACATTCTACATGGTGATATTTTACCAGCTGATGAAAAGATACTATCATTACTCCACGGCTATTTTAAGATTTCTATAAGCATTGAACGGATGCTGAATGGTCAAAATAGTTCCTTTTCTTTTGCATCTGAACAAACGAGAGCTTTGCCACTGCTCCACTGGCAGGGTATTTTTATTCTTTCACTGAGAGACTTCTTCAGCTCCAGACTGAACAACCCCATTGCCCCAAAATACGTATCCTAAGGACAAGACCATGTTTGAAGAAATACTTCCTATTTAAAAGACAGTATTGTCCTCGCTAGCATCTTATTTCTAATGAAAAAACAAGGCTGCAAACTAATCACAGTGCAGGAAACGTCTGACCAAGAAGCTGCCCTTTAAGGCCTGCTAACAGCATTCCAAGAGAAACACATCTGAGGTGAGAACCTGGAGCTAGTGAGAGCTCCAGTGACAAGAAATAGTGAAACAGAAAGAAAAAAACCCTCCTAAAAAGGCCTGGATCACCTAGTGAGGAGGCAGGACGTTTTCACACTTGCATACCAAGGCTAAGAACACAGGCAAAGCCAAATTCCTTGCATTTAGCATTCATACCTATAATGCTCTGACTACGGGCTTTCCCCTGTCCTCCTCAGCACAAGACTCTCTTTCCAGCATCGCGCTTCCCCCAGGTGGGGGGCCAAATACCAACCCACCCGTATTAATATCCTCGCTGGTGACTTTTTAAAAAGAGTTTTCAGATATCCATGCTGCCCAGACTATGCAGCCCAGCTATCTGAAAACAAACAGACCAATGACACACAGCCTCCGGAATGGAAATCTCAACTCTTCTATCAATTTTCACACCCGCAGTGCACACCAACCCCTCAAATACCAATTACATGCACTTTGAGGACACAACTTGTAACAGTCAGTCAGAACACCACAGAAATACATTGTGCTTTTGAAAGAACCACATGGATACTGCCTAAAAAATAGCTTTTATAAAAAAAAAAAAGAGAGACTCTCTACTCAGTGTATACATTGCTCTCAAACACCATCCTAAAAACTGTACCAAAAAAACCCTCAAAAAAGTGATACCCTGTTAGAACATCCTGCCCAGTGGAAAATTTTCTGCAGAGCCATCCCTGCCAGTCTTTCAGCCGTCTCCCAACCTTGCTAAGCTTATCACCAGAAGGAAGCTTTTTATGCAGGGGAAAAAAAAAAAAAAAAAAAAAAAACAAACAAAGCAGAAGAAAGAAAACAAGTAAAACTTGTCAAAACCTTCCCTTCCACCTTCCTGTAAGGTCTATCCCAAACACCAGCACCCCCAGGGCTTGTACCCGGGCACTGATATCCAGCACACGAGCAGCCCTCACAGCCCAGGGCTGAGATAAATCACTGCTGAGACCAGCCTGAGCTCACACAGACCTAGGAATAAAAATTCCTAACATTTCAACATAGCAAAACTGTGCTTCCCTGCCACACCATAACCTCCCACACTCTCCACATCCCACAGGCTGTAACCTCTCTCCTTCTCTGCCTACGTCTCATCCAGTCATTTCAACCTGCCAGGAAACATTACTTCTCTTTCCTCAAGAAGACAAGTATCACACCATTTCTGCCTTCCTACAAATTAGCATTCCCACATTGAGCTTGCCAGCTCCAATTCCTTTCAAAGATAATCTGATAGATACCAACTCCAAACTCTGAGGGTCTTTCTCAATTTACATTCCATTCTGAAACAAAGGTATCACTTTTAGGTCAGGCCTAAAGGTGGCTTGCATGCCTGAAAGCTTTTCTCCTTTTCAAACTACGCTTTCATTAGGCATGAAAGACATCACCTCTGCATACGTCCTTAGACATCACAGCCACAACAATGCTAGGGTGCTTTTATACAGTTTAAAAATCAAGTCATATTTACATTCCAAGTAAACTTTTAATCCCTATAAGAGGTTTCAAAGTGTGTTTTTTAATCACTACAGGTTTAAAGGCACATTGTCCTTCCCAAATCACTAAGACTGTGGAAACTGGAGTGATATTTTATGAGGCCACTGTAAAATGCTGGGTTTCCAACTTCAACTTTTTAGAAGTCATCACTATTCTCAAAGGTTTGAAAATAGATCAGAAAGTGCCCATTGCCATTATAGAGTAAGAGAAAGCCAGAAAGACAGAGAAACTCTTAGTTGCTTAATATAACAAAACCAGTCGTCCTAATCATCAGTCTTGTTTAACAGATCAGCCAGCCCTGACCTCTGATGGGAGGAATCACGACCATACTCAGACCGTGGAGAAACAAATAGGGATCAAAATGACTTGACTTCACCCTCTCAACTTTCTCTTCACCGTTACAGCTAAATCTAGTTGTGCTTGTTAAGTGTTCCACATGATATGGAGTTTACATTTCAACACTCTCTTAATTCACTTTTTCCCCCCACCAAGAGCCGTAGTTTCTGTAGCAACTATAGTCCAAATACTCAGAGATGTAAAAAGCCAGGAGAGACACACTTCTGTTCACTCCTCAACATTCCCAGGTGTGCACAGAGGCATGCAGAGTCACACACAGAGTCACAAACCCACTAATAAAATTATTTAGAGAATCCATGTTTTAGAAAACATTTGGACCATTGTATGGGAGGCGAAAGCTCCACTAACCAAATACTTTCTAGTTGAAAGCCTGTCAATGTGTCTACAACCAACTCATTCTTCTTCTGAAGAACGACCTGTGCTCTTACCATCATGATTAGAATTTCCCAGGGTCCACGGCTCGTCTGAGTCGAAGTGAGTATCTCCTCCTATTCCTGGTCCAGGAAAGTAAGCGTGAGCTAGAAATCCACCCTCTCCATCAAACGGAGAACTGTCTCCATGGAAACCCGAAGCAAAAAATATCATAATGTCTGCCTCCTTTCTGTCATTTTTAATTTCATGGTAAGGGACTTCTTCAAAGGTAAGTGGTGTCACTCTCTGCCACACATCAAACGCCTGACGAATGGCTCTCCTCGTATCGATCTCTCCAACCTTGGGGGTATAGTTGTGTACACTGTGCAAATGGGAAAGAAGGGTTGTTTCAATTTGCAGAACACATTCGAGACTTATTACAATTGCAATACACAGACACATCTACAGTTTCCATTTCGAAAGGGTCTTTATTTTTTCCAGACACTACTTTGTGCAAAGTTTTGCTGTTACAAATCAAGTCACCAGCAAAACTACAGCCCTGATCCGAAGTCTATGTTTATTAATAAGAATCTCCCCAAGATTTTGGTCAATCTTGCATTGCTTCCTAAAAATCTGACAACCTTTCAAATCCTTGTATAGACAGCTAAGCGATTGAGTTTAAAAACGTAAATTACTTGAAGCTTTGTCTGAAATTATCATGCTAAAATGGAATCCAGTGTACGAAAGAAACCTGACTACTAAAATTCTTTTTGAGAAATAAAACCTCTCAGTGAACTAGCCAAGCTTGCTTACACAAGCAGCTTCATCCAGGGCTACTCAAAAGACTCAGGACCTCACAGGAGTGATGGAGCAATCCAGTCCACAACAGCTGACCATACAGAGTGTAGGGGGGTAACTCCATATAAATTTCTCACAGTTGTTAAACTTCAGCTTAGAAAGTGCTGTTCGTGGGGTGGTTTCTGTGTGTGTGTATCATGGGCTCAAGACCTATTAAACCTGGTGCGGGAAATACGAAATATCTACACCACAGAAACAACCTTCAGTCTTTAATGAAACTGGCTCAGTTTAATATCGTGACTGACAGACGAAAGACACTTTAATACATTCACCCGTAAAATAAGGTAAAATAAGGTGCCACTTGGTGGCACACTCCAAACACTGAAATTGGAAAGTTAAGCAACTATGAGTTTGACAAGGGCAGAAGTGAAGCCATCAGTGAAGCCAGCTGCCAACCTGCTCCCTGCAGTTATACACATACGCTGAAGGTATGTTTTATTTATATGATTCTATACCAGGCTTCCCTAAGGCCCAGAAAAGGTCAGAAGCAGGATCTGACTCTCGGACCTTCACGTACAGACGTCGTCCCTTTACAGTCTGAGTTAAAGGAATGATTATTGGTGGAAGCTTTGAACTAGTGCCCAGAAACAGTCCCTCCTCCCAGCCTCTGCAGTCCCTCGCTGTTACCTAGAGAATCCTCCTCCTCTCCCAGAGCTCTCCGCAGAAGCACCAGAGTGCCCCAGCCCCTCAATCTCTTTCCCTTCACTCAAGCATAGCTCTTCCTACACATTCTGGCACCTTCCCCATGCAGGTCACTCGTATTTCTATAGCTTCACCACAGATTTTCTTTCTTTCTTTCTTCCTTAGCCTTGCTCACCCATACCTTCTCCTAATGTCTGCACTCCCAATTTTCACTCCTCTGCAACCTCCTTTCCCCCTCCAAAAAAATTAAAAGACTATACTTTCAACTAGAGGGGGGGGGTGGTTTTACTCTGAAGCCACATTCTTATTGTCAGAAACTTTCATTGGCTTTTCCCTTTCAAAAGCCGAGGGCCTAAATGACCCAAACAAAACACATCTCTGCACAACACACATTTGAGACCCGTAGCCCACTGCAGCCAACAGCCTCAGCAGGCCTACGCCCGGACAGAAGCAGGGGTTCTACTACACGAGCCAAAGTAAAACCTCTGCAAAATAAATATTCAGCAAAATGTTGCAACTCAGTAGAGGGAGAAAGCATCACCCTTTTAGACAACGATGTTCCTTCTGCTTTAATGGTTTGTTAAAGAAGACACATGGTCTAAGGACCAGAGCCACAGATTTCTAAGGTAACAGAAAGGGCCTTAGTAGGAATTACACAACTGATGGCTGGGATTTAGGCATCTTTACTGACCACTTATTTTCTAATTAAGAATAGACCCTTCGGTTACTCCAGTGCTCTGGAAGTAGTCCCCTCCACCGTGTTCTGAGAATGACAGTCTCAATTAGACATTACAGGGAAAATCCAGTTTTTAAAAGTACATACAAGATCTGCACCCCAAACAAGTACAGAACATTTTTTCCCCAAACAAACAGGGGCAGGGAGGGGGAGGGGGCTATACCTGTAGGTTATATGCTTCTGCCTCCACTTCTGTCCAGTTAGGGCATACCGCTTTTTCCTCCGGCTGTGGCGTAGCTGGGGATGATCTGGAACTCCACATCGAGGCTTCTTCATCCACCTGGAAGAGAAGGGAAGGAAAAGCAAGTTAACAAAGAGTTCAGAAGAGAGATTCAAAAGCACTCAGGGGGTGACTGGAAGCCCTCTGAGGGACGGCCAGTGCAGACACCAAGAAGGACTCAGTCTTCCCTCTCTCAGGTTTACCCTCTTTGCCCAGAGCTACAGACCCCACCTCTGCTGGCAATCCACACACCTCACACCACCAAGAAGAATTCGTTTTTCCTTTTGGAAACAGACACCAGCTCAGGTAGCCCTTATGCTTGATGAGAGCTTAATGAAGATAATGCCACAAAAAAGACCCAGATACAAATTGCACAGGCGTCTGCCCTGGGATCAAACTCTCCTGGCACCTACTCTGAAACCGCTCAAAAGGAAGCAGTCTTCGAGAAATAAGGAGTTAAAATGTAAGCTGGGTTCCTTCTTTGAATCCCCTATCTCCCAACAAGTTCGACAAGACTGTTTTGCTGCTTCAAAGCCTCATTGTGCTGGTTGCAGGACTACTCCCTACATTCCTGCCTTCCTCTCTTGTCACTTATCATAGCTCTTTTGGGGCAAATTTGGCATCACTCTACCCAGTCTCCATTCCTTAAAGTGCTCCTGTGCCAGTAAAACATCCTTTAATTCACAGCTCATCAGGTAAGGCTCCACAAGTGCAAACACCACCCCCCAGATAAGGACAAGGGCTTTCACCTCTAACGCCCAGAACAGATCGCTCCAATCTGTGGGTCACAGTCACCAAATCCTGGTAGGTGCTCCCCAGAACACTTGACTCTTTGGACGTCACTCCAAATGGGAGATGCTGCCCCTTGCATGGGGATCCATGCACTATTACCAGAGAAGTCAGGTCTCCTCCCCTACCTCCTTTACCTCCAGCCTTAACAGATTTTTTGCTTATTTCTTGCCCCAGCTTGAGGATGGTCAAACACTGGCACAGGTTGCCCACAAAAGTGGCAGAGTCTCCATCCTTGGAGATATTCAAAACCCAACTGGACATGGTGCTGGGCAACATGCTCTAGCTGTCCCAGTTTAAGCAGGAATCTGGAGCAGATGATCTCAAGAGGTCCCTTCTAACCTAAATAATTGTCTGACAAGGAGAAAGAGACTGCACCCCAGAGTACTACCCTGCTTGCTGGCATGGGCACACTCCCGAGAAGGCAGAAGTGGCTCATGGAGGAATGAACCTGCCCATCACTGCATATGGCAGCAGGGGAGAAAGGAGACAGGGACAGAAACAGAGGAACTACGGGTGCTGGTCTCCGAAGGTCCCAGCACAGAAACCTTCTGTCCCAGCCACGTTCTTTAGGATTTTGCAGTGCAGCCAGCCCAGGACAGGAGACCAGAGCCCAGGAATAACACAAAGCAGTCTCTGTCCACAGCCTCCCAAGCACTGCCCTCAGCCTCCTGCTTGGGCTGCTGCTGGGGACATGGTCACTGGCATTCTCCAGGTGCCTTATGCATTTGATCCACTTTGATGGCGGCGGCGAGCGTCCACTGTGACACCGTGCCTCAGGAACACACCGGAGGACGTGCAGAAACAGGCCACTGCCTCCTCACACACGAGAAGAGCATCGTAGCCAATCCTGGCAGATTTCTTACATAAGACACCAAATTCTCTCCACTCCCCACATCCCTGGCCACCCTGGGGCCAACTTTCAGCCTCCGAATGCAGACATTCCTCCATCAACAGCAGCCAGCCGATGGCAAGATGGCAAGTAGTCCCGTGTGTGTCCACATGCTCGAACCTAAACAACATACGTCTTACCTATCAAAATAGTAGCCCCACACCTTCAGGAAGGGAGTGTCTTCCCGTCACCAGTAGATGGTTTACAAGATTTCTTTCTGGGACACCTTCTAAATAAAAAACAGCCTCCCACAAACACTCTTTCACAGCACACATACCTGCTCCCAGTTCAGGCAGCCAACCTGACCTTTCCTTACGGAATCAGAGAACTGTAGGGGATGGAAGGAACCTCTGGAGATCATCCGGTCCAACCCCCTGCCAAAGCAGGTTGCACAGAAGCATGTCCAAGTGGGTTCTGAGTATCTCCAGAGGAGACTCTCTGGGGAGCCTGTTCCAGGGCTCTGCCACCCTCACAGGAAAGACATTTTTCCTCCCGTTGAGATGGAATTTCCCATGTTCCAGTTTGCGCCCATTGCCCCTTGTCCTGTCACCAGGCTCCACAGAGAAGAGTCTGGCTCCGTCCTCTTGCCACCCGCCCTTTAGATACTGCTCAGCATTGATGAGGTGCCCTCTCAGTCTGCTCTTCTCCAGGCTGAATAGCCCCAGGTCTCTCAGCCTTTCCTCAGCAGAGAGATGCTCCAGTCCCCTGATCATCTCCTTAGCCCTCCTTAGTCCACTCGCTAGACATAAGAACTACCAGGGCTTACAAATTTCAGTGCATTCATCTGTCTTCTTCTCCCCACCAGGAACAGAGCAAACGAGAGCTGTTATGCGTCTTGTACTGTACCTAGGGAGAACCCAAGCTGTGTATAGAAAGCTAGCACAGACCTTCCCCACTTACACTACCTTACATTTCTCAGCGTGGTATGCCTCTCAGAACTCTAAGCAACCTGTGGAAAGCAGATCTGCCTTGCCCACACAACTGCTGTCACCTTCAAAGGAAAGGGGCACATCTAAAAGCTGTATCAATTCAACCTCAATAGACTCTGTTTTTCCAAGCGTTATTTGTGTCCTTCTGCATTGCTTCTACCACTTTGCTAGAGACACGAGGCTTACTGTAGCCTGTTTTTTCCTAGGTATCTCCTGAGTATCTTTTTTTTTTTAAAGTTCTGTTCATAGGATATGGCACAGAGTTTTTAGCATAACCTTACACAAACCGGAGCATGAATTAGGTTTTCATCTCTTGAGTTCCATGTGAACTCCAGTACTCCAAGCATCACCACCATCAGACCCTGATTACAGTCAGAAGACAACCTTAGCTTTATTAGCATCCTCTAGAAAACAAGAAGGTAAGAGAGGGGGTAACAGAGGAGCTGCCCCTTCCCAGCACCTGCCCTATGCCAAGTGGGCTGCAGGAAATCAGCCCCCACGGTAGTCCTGGGCAATCAGAACTGCCCAAAGGCAATCAGAACTGCCCAGAGATAGTCAGAGACAGTCAAATCCCCTGGCCCTCGCCAGCTCCATGGCAGCAAACGGACACAGGGCAGGGTATGGGGCTGTTCCAGAGACAACCTGCCATACCGGCACCCTGGGCTTCAAGGGATTCCTGAGCCAAAGCCTCCAAGGGACCAGCATTTGCAGAGCTGCCCATAGGCTTCTGCTACGCACGGCTGCCAAAATCCTCCTGCCACCCCACTGCCTGTCTGAACCCCCGTATTCTACCACAGCTTGTTCCAGAGCTCAGCTACACACCTTCTGAAGCAGACCTAGCAAAAAAACCCCAACTTTCACTCTTTTTAGAGCTAGGCAGTACCCAAGCTGTCAACAGCCTGTGCTAATGTCATGCTGAGAGTGTTGATCTGGCTCCGTTCCCTGATCCAACCTACTTCCCAGACATATGGGCCCGTGTCTCATCACACAGGCCAGGGGACAAGGCCAGCCATCTCTTCTTCCCTCACCAGGGCAGATCTACGGCAAAATAATCACAAAGGTGCTGCTGCTGATCTTCTTTAGATGGGCTTTCTGATAGACATTCTCTACTGAGCAGATCGGAGAACCCTTTCTGTGCACCAGGGGATTTATAAACACACATCACATCCAGAACAACAACAAAAGACAATTACTTGAAGCAGGATTGAGATACTTATGGTTGCTCCCCTCTTTTTTTTTTTTTTTGTTTTTAAATGGGGGCACCAATAACATTGGATCATCAAAATTTATAGTTGGCACTGTTTATGCATAGACTATTGCATTCCTCCAGCTGCCTGACATGCAGAAAACAGGTAATTTCCAAACGCAGTGACATCCAGCAGCAGATACAGTTGGTTCCCCCAGTTCAGGCCCCAAGCCCTCCCCAAGACTCCCCTCAACAGAGGAAGCTGTCACTCTCCACCGCCCGCTGCTGAGCTGCCAGGAGGGGTATCTTTAAACAGCTCCATGGCGCATCCCAAAGTGAGGGACCTACACAAGGGGCTCTAGATGAAGCACAGGACACACAAGACACTTCCAACACAAGAAACACTATTTCTTCATTCCCTCCGGGGTCGTGCAATTGATTATCACAAGCAGAAGTCACCTCTTTCGTTAGGTGCCAGCGTGCTTCTCTCCCGGCGTGCTCCCAGGACGCTCTCCTTGCCCAGCTGCTGAGCAAAATTCCAGTCCAGCCCCCCAGCCGCAGACAGACACCAAGTTGGCTGAGGCACCACCAACTGCAGGGCACGAGGAGGGCATTTCACCTATTCCCCCCTGCTCTCCTTACAGGGAAACTACACATCCTCATCCTGCCACCTCAAGATAAGCCCCTGGGCTCAACAGACCCCCACCCCACCTTCCTTTCGGGCACCACTAAGCAACAGCACTGGTGGAGTTCCTTCCCTTTTCCCACTCCCACTGGCAGTGCCTGCGTGGTGGCTTTCACACTTGGGTTCTTCCCGGAGGGAAGAACGAGTTTGAGATTTGGCGGCCTGCGGGGAAGGAGATGAAAAACTTCAGGCTTCCATAGTAAGTGTAAACAGAATATGCAGAATTTGTCATCTGACAAGGAAACCATAGAAAATAATATCTTTACACTCTGATTCTGAAGTCACTTTAAAGGGACAGAGTTTATGACACTGACCAAAGTGACAGAAAAAATCCTCACTGCAATCTCAAAACTCGTAACGCAGCCTGAAATAACAGCTTAGCAAACGCCAAAGTAATTTGGAGCTCTCGGAGCCCACCTGCCCTGCCAGCTCTTCTCCTTTTGCTCGGCTTCCACAGCCAGGCCTGAGGAAGTGACAGCCCAACCTTGTCCAGCCAGACACGTCCCTCCAACTCCAAACACAGGCTCATTCCTTACAGCGATTAGCACCTCTTCTTCCTTTCAGGGAATCCCTGCTAGGTCCTCCTGCTCCACCCGGCCACACAGCGTACAGACCTACTGACTCGGGGCAGATGGAGGGAGAGCACACCCACATTTCGCTGCAGCTGAGGTTTCAAGCCTTTGGAGACTTGCATTTCAGAAGAGGGATCCATCCAGGTTTTTCACCCATCAGCCTTTGGGCGTTCATGCACCGATCAACCCCTGCCCACACATACTCAGTAAAACGTGGGTAAAACTTGGACAACACCTTCCTTTCCTCTAGAAAAATACTTTCACTTACTAAAGCAGGGACATGTGGTTTTCTCCCTTCCCCTGTCAGCCACAGGGCAGCAGAAACAGCTCCCCAACTTTCCAAATTAGCACCCCAAAGTCGTAGCCCCTTCTTCCCCCACTGCCTTCCAACTCATACGCAGCCCAGCTGCAAGCTTCTACACGCCAACTGCACTAACCTCCTTCTCTGCCTCTCTTTCAGGATGCACTCACGAGCCGTGTTATTAATGGCAAAGAGATCTCGGATGAAAAATCCCCACCTTCATTTCAAAAGCGTTTCATTTTCAACTCATTCGAAAAGCAAACAGGATTTTCTCTATCCCTCAATGGAGAATGAGGGGCTTTTCCTGGGAGCTAGAGGGAACGTTACATTCACTGGAGAGGAACTCCCAGTCCAGGATGATCCCCTCCTGCCTAATCCACCTCTTCTCGTAGTCTGGAAGTCACACAACCAAACCTCTTCGTCCTTCACACTATTTGATTACTTTGTGCCCCTGTGTCCCTTTTGCCAGCCGAGTGCCCCAACAGGAGAGATGAAGAACTAGGCAGAGCACACCTTCAAAGGGTCTGCTAGTGCAGTAAGAAAAGGTCAAGGGAAAACTCTCAGGCAGGGCCTGAGCAAGTTCTATTCTTTGTGCTTTCTTTTTTCGCTCACCACAAGATGCTTCTTTCCCCCAGAAAGCACTAGTAAGACCTTACCTGCAGCATTCTGCTTTAGACAACAGATGCTCCTCCAGTCCAGACCAAGAGCAGAAAGATACAGCCAATAAAGGACATCCAGGCAACCGGAGGAGAGGAAAACAGTCAGGTGGCAGCCACAACCACTGCTTCCATGCCAAGATGACACCCCTTCCACACCAGGACACCTCTTCCAGGCCACCCTTCGCAGGACACACTGAGCAGACTAAAGGCAGCAGCCTTCCAAGAGCAAAGTCCCTCCAGCCTAAGTGACTTAGACCAATCCTTCTGTGCCATCAAGACACCCATCCCGAACAACAAATAACACGTGGGCAACATAGAGCAGAGAACATCTCATGTCCAACAAATGGCAACTATTGCCAGTTAAGCAGTCTTGGCCGTTGTCACCCAACTACAACAACAACAACTCACTTCAACTCGGAACTCCAGATCTCCACTACCCAACTACAACAACAACAACAACAACAACTCACATCAACTCAGAACTCCAGATCTCCACCTATGGAGATTCACAACTCCCATTAATTAAGAAATACATGAGAAGCCATGTCTGGAGCCAGATTTTCACCTAAATCCAGACAGAGGAGCACATAAATTAATCCCTTGGTGTTCTGTGCTTTCAGAAGCTCACAGGATTCACACTTTGCCTGTGCACCTACAATGGGGATCTGTGCACAAATAAGGAGAGTAACAAGAGCTTCTCCTCACACTCACAAACAGTTCCGTTGGCAAGAAGAACAGTTGGAGTTGTCAACATTGGCATTAGGGATACCTCTTCAAAATCAAGAATTCTCTGGCTGCGTCAATCAAACCTACCCCTTTTGAGAACTTCTTGCAGCTGGAATAATCACCCAGGTAATACGACAACGCATTAAGAAAGGGAAAGACAAAATTAGCCTACGTCAGTCTTACTCAATAGTTGTCTGGTCCAAAACTCCTGTTACTGGGATCCCGTAAAACTGTTGCATAGTGGCAACTGCGGACTGCACCGCTTTTCCCGACTGCAAGGCAGACATTTGGCTGTCAGATGGAAGTAAGTAGCCGTAAGTTTTTAACCAACCCTGAAAAAGAAAGAAACAGATGGTAAGATGCCACAGTAGGTCTGCAACTTAACAGATTAGAACATTTCCTCAAAGGAAGAAGTGGAAAAAAGAAAAACTAGCCCAAGAAATTCAACCGCCTCTCTTTTTATTGGTTAGGTTTGGTAATACCATCCCATCGCCAGGAAGGGCTGGAGACCCAGCCAAGTATCACCTGTCCTCAGAGGACAATGCACACCTGCCAATTAGAAATGACCATCACCCCTACTGAGTAACTGGGGCAGACCTAGGTCTTTGGAGCACCAGAGATGCCCAGGAAGCTCCATCCTTGTTCCAGAGACCTCCTGTGCACCCTGTCTCCTTGCCACCACGACATTTCTCAGTTCCCACAGCCAGCACGCTCCCAATAACCCACTGCCCACCACCTACTGCTGCCTCTGCACCATCACTGCAGGAAAAGAGCTTAACAGGCCTGGGCAATCCCCACAAACACCAGCTCAGCTTCACGCTTGCACTTAGTGCAGGAGTATTCCTTTCAAAAGACAAACCCCACCCCAACAAAGCAATCCAAAAAACCACACTCGGCAAGTCTGCAGGGACTCTGGTGAGACAGATTTTTCCTCTACAAATAGCAGGTATCTAGCAAATTGTGAGACCGGGAAAATAGCCAACTCTCTTTAAGGAGCTTTGTCCCTTCTCCCTGCCTCCCCCCCAAAATGCAGCCTTACATAAAACTGCATGGCAAACTTGTCAAAGCACTAACGCCAGTATTTTCAAAAATTACTTCACAATTTTAGTTCTTCAGCCCCTCTCTTCCTCCCCCTCACCTTGACATCAGGAGAAAAAGGAATATTAACTCACCATTAAGAGCAAACACCAATAAAACCCAAATCGAGACTTGCTTTCATATACTTCTCACCATAACTTTGCGTGCACACACCTCAGCGTGTGTTTCTTCTGGCCAACACCCCAGCCCTCCCCTTCAATACGTAGACCAGCATTACTACAAGATGGACATCTATCCCGTAAGCTTTCTCCAGCCACGAGGACAATCCCTCCCACCCAGGGACACCGTCCTCAACACACAAGCGCTGAGGAACCGTCTGCGGGCGCTGCTCTCCCACGGGCAGCCCGAGATCACTCCGAGCAGGGGCAGAGGAGAGACACCTCCTCCCTTAACCTGACACGGCAGCGGGACAGGCCTCCAGCCAGGAGGAGCACAAGAGGGAGAACGATCCCCATGTCTTTGTGGCAGCAAGAAGACACCAGAATCCACCAGGGGAAAGTCCTTGCTTCCAAAGCAGGAGAAAGACGGTGTAAGGCAGCACCTGGGCCGGACATGTTCGAGTTCATCAAGTAACTGGACACAGAGGCTACTCCACACGGGCATCACCCAGGGCTCAAGACAAAGCCAAGGTGCGTGGAGACCAGACAGTTGCTACCACTGCCTTGGCATCCAGCGCTGGCCTCTGCCAGACACAGCCCGCTGCAACAGGCGGACCTTCGCCCTGACCAAAATAAGCTGTCCTTGAGCAGCAAGGGCAGAGCAGAGTCACCGCGACAGCTCTGCCCGGGGCTACCTCGGGGCTACCTTCGCCTCTCACTCCCCTGCCCTGCGGGCCAGACTCGGAGGCGGCAGCGGGCGAGGGCAGGGCCCCAGGCCGTGCCCGCACAGACACCAAGCGAAGCTCCTCCCGGGAGCCTGCCGCTCAAAGCACACGCAGCCGGGGCCCGGCCGCCTTCCACCGCCGGCTCCCAGCCAGAGGAGCCGCCACCGGCCACGGCCGCACGCCTGAGCCCGGCCCGGCACCAGCCTCCACGACCGGCCGCTTCGGAGCGCGGCCCGACCAGCCGCCACGGGGGGTGGAGAGCGGCTGCCGCCGGGCACCGGCGCCCAGCCGCGGGGGAG